AGAGAGAGAGAGAGAGAGAGAGAGAGAGAGAGAGAGAGAGAGTTGGGATGAGAAAGGAGAAACGACAGGCGGAGAACTATTTCGGTTTTCTGTCAGCGGGTGAGCTGCGGAGGAGGGGTAGGAATATGGAAGGGGGTTACGAATATGACATTGTTGACGGCCTGAGGAAGCAGGATGGTGGAAAGGCATAGGGGGCTATGGTTCCTTCCTTTTGCTTTCTCTCGACTTATTCTGGCTTTCCTTTCTATTCCGCTTCAAACTATTCCTTCCTCCCTATTTTTCCCTTCAATGTCTTCTTGCTGCACGTGTTTCTTCTGTTGTCCATGTAATCCTTCCCTCTGCATCGTCCTCTCCACATCAGCCTCTGCGTACTCCCTGTTCCGTATGGAAGCCGTGGAGGTCAATATCCTCCTACCTCCAGCAGAGTATGAGGAAAGGAATGGACAAGCGATGGTGATTCAAAGATAAGATGGGAGGACGGACTGGAGGGAGAGGAGAGATTAGGTGGTGATGATGATGATGATGATGATGATGACGAGAGGGGGTAGTTAGATGAGGATCCTGATGTGACGGAGTGGCAAGGGAAAAAGGGGAGGACGAGGCTATGGTGATTTCGTTCATCTTTCTCTTTACTGGTGCACATTTTGCTTTCTGTTGTTATGAATTTGGTTCTGTCGACTTCACTCAACGCTCGCACTCAGACAATCCCACACATGCCCATACATGCATAAGAAGAAGGGGAGAAAAGTCAGAGTACACACTGCACACAGACAGAATAGGCAGCGGAAAACAATTATGCACAGAGTGTGGAGATAGCACACAGTGCTTCTCTCTCTCTCTCTGATGATAGCACACCAAGATGAAGAGCAAGACCAGCGGTGAAGTCCACAAGGCCGATAGGAATCTCTGACGTAGTAAGCTGCAGCTATGGCTGCAGCGCCACTGTCTCTGCCTCACAGGTAACCCTAACGAAGTAGCAGCAGCAGTGGTCCACCCTCAAACCACAATGTAGAGCCTCTTGATAGCCCAGACAATCGCAGTCACCCTCAAGGGTGAGTGCTCAGAGAACGCCCCAGCTATGGCGAGCTCCAACAGTCTGGCTATGGCTGTTGTCACCGACGAGGGACTTAGGATGCCGCGCCTGAAGTCAATCGTCACCTTCCTTCCTTGGCTCAACTCCGTAGTACCGAGGAAGAAATGAATTGCCAAAAGTCCCCAACAGACTTCCACAATCTATTAATAGACTACACTAAGCCTAGACACAACCTAGACCAGACCGACTGGACTGACCGGTACCCTTTTAGTGTTGGCCTCTAGGGCCTCTCCCGACCTGGCTATAGGCTATATGACCGTTTATGG